GACGAAGGAGACTGGAACGACCATTTTAGCCAGCCCTACCCAGTCGCGAAGTTTTTGCAATGCCCGAGACACGGATCCACGACCCGTTGTTTAGAAGTTCAACGTCGAAACCAGTGACCTTCAGGCTCGTTGTCTTGCACTGCAAAATGTACATTGAAACTCTAAAGACCGTGGCTTTTAACTTTTACGAGCCACCTCTGGTCACAGCTCTATCAGCAGATATCTCCGCCCTGCTCCTTTCTAGTATCCTTAACGACGGTACTGTTGCGTGAGATAGGAGATGCATCATGTGAAGCCTGACAGGTTGGAAGTCAGGGTTCAGGCCGGGTATTGCACGCGCAGATGGGTTGTAGGGGTTTTTTCAAGTACCACGCCCACGTCCACCTCCGCTCGCCCTAAACCTGTTTCTACCATTGTAAGGGAGAGAGAGGAAGAGAGAGAGAGAGGCAGACGGAACGAGTGCCCGCCTCACTAGTAACAATTCCATGCGCAGATTAGGGTTGCGTCTACACCGTGGGGCAACTATGGAAGCCGTTGTTAAATGAGCCCCAGGCTGCGCTCCTTGCTCTCGGGATCTAGGTAAAGTTAAGTTCGAGTGGTATTCACAAACAGAAGGAAATAGGGACGCTCCACTCGATCCTGGAAGTTGAATCGAATCCGACACAGAGTGAAGAGCAATCAAACATGACTGTCGGGAATATTGTAAGTCAGTCCCGAAAATGACTCTTACACAATCGCCCCCCCTCCCCCTCCGGAGGAGATGGAGAGACGCAGGGGATGGAAGGCAAATTTCGGTCAGATGTGGTGATGTAGTCGCGTCCGAAGTAAACAAGCCCCAGTCACCTGTGAAACGGGACCGGTGGTAATGATGGTTTTTACAGATGGGGCCGGGGAACGCACAGGCGATGACGTCAAGTAGATGTATGCAAAAGAAAAGCTACTGGGGGTGCGTGGTTGTACATTGAGTGGTTGAGAAGTAGTTGCCCTAACCCCTAACCTGTGACCCTAACCCTAGCCTCCAACCCCAACAGCACTGTGCCCATCAGGTGGGGCCACATAACCACATCTAATTAAAGGCGTCATTTCTGCTCATACTTGCTCTGGAGAACGCAAGACGCAACTAATTGCCGCTAAAAACCCTTTCCTCTATGCACTTTGGTGAAAAAGTAGGTGACACAGCGGGCAGATAATCCGGCAGGTGGAATAGAAAAGCGGGCGCCACAACGGAGATGGAAGAAAATCAGGACGTTTGTAGCAGCTGTTTTTGTGAAGCAGGAAACAGCTCCATCCAGGGCCATGAGCCCTCTCAATGCACAACCCGAGCGCTGGGCTGTCAAAAATTCCGGCTGATCGTGCAGCGGTAGCGTAAAGCGGTTTGGTGGGGGAATGTTCATCCGCCTCACCGTGCCAACTAGATTGAATGCCCCAGATTGCCCCATAGAGTGGCGAGTGAGAATTAAAGCAACGCCGCACAACAATCGCCACGTCGTACTAACGCCATGGCATGCTACCTTTTCACCGTTAACCAGACCGGTGGCTAGCTCCAGCCGAGGGTATTACTACTACGCGGATGCAAATATTCGTATGTTGGATCCAACGGCCTGCTCACCTCGCAGGTGACCCCTGTGGCAGATCGTTTCACTGCCAACACCGCGCGGCCATCTGCTGATCAATGTGAATTATGCAAGCCAAACGCCACTCACGTACGCCTGAGTACGATAATCTCAGCAGTAATGGAGACAAAGCTTCGCGTGCCTAGATCTGTAATCACGCCAACTATGGCATTGACTAACTGATAGGTAGTGCCAATGCATCGTGTGTTACAAAGGCTGAGCATCACGCGACCGATGCATGCTGGATAGTATTGCCAACTCGCTCTCATGCTCCGAAACGTTTAGAGTGAAGACGTAAGTGCATCATGGACTAACAAGTCTGACAGTTACGTGGTTAAACAACGTTGTTGCCTAACAGCCCAGACTGTCACCAACACGCGCTCAAGTAGTAGTTTAATAATTAGCCTATAAATAACCTTTAGAACTAACTGATCACGCTGAAATCTTGGGTGCAGTCGCAAGTACAAACCCGCAGTAGACGGAAACAGGCAGCTACTGTGGTTTTGCCACAAAAGTTGGTTCGTGTTATTTTTGGTTATCGTTTGCGGAAGGCCCAGCTTCTAATAGGACGTCCGTAGTACTCAGAACTATCGTCGGTTAGACATATTTGACTGAGACTCTAGGTGGTCGGATCTTATTTCGTAGCCGTACCTGCTGTAGACAAGCCCCAGCCGCATGTTATACGAGACCAGTGGTAATAGGGGGGTTAACCCTAGCCCCAACCCCTGACCCACAACCCCTAAGCCCAAGCCATAACCCCTAACCCTAATCCATACCAAGCACGGCTACGAAGATCTTTCCAACTACTGTCGGACCCGCCGTTTCCATTCGACGTTGAATTGTCCATGGCCTTCACAGCATCCGAGCGCATTTGATAAGTCCGCCTTGTTATTATCGTTTCATTTGACCCTGCTTTACGTCTTCAGCATAATGCCGTCGCGATGATCTACGAGCGCGAACACGTGGGTCCAGTAATCTGCGGCTAGTTTTTTTACATACCGTTCCTCGCTACCTCGCCATCGCAAATGCTTTTTTTAGGCTTTGCTAATTCCAAAACTCTGTTCCATTAATAATAAACCCTTCACTGCGCACACACCGGTTGTTTACTGAATCATCTTACCGAGTCAGCGCTGTCTAGTCAAGGGTAAGAAGAGGTCTCCTACAGATCCCGCAAATAATCGACTTCTTCAACGCGCATTTGGGAATGCAATAGGACATGCTCCGGAATATAAATGCAGCCACGTTCACTCGCGATGAAGGTGATAAGCCTTGTGAGAGGGAAGACCACTCCCTGCCGGTGCCATTTCTGACGGCGAAGGCGAGCACAGCAGCATACCCTTCTTTCTTCGGACGAACGCTTAAGGAGAAATTGTGCCCTGTTTCAGTTTCGTTTTCTCGTCCTTTTTTGGCTAAACGGTTGTCACTAAGAGCAGCCACGTTAACAAGGTAGTTAACAGACGTCAAGGGCTGTCCCTCTCGTCAGTCAGTTGGTCGTTAGGATATCAGTGGGGGGACGAAAGGGCCGGATCTTATTTCGTGGTCGCACCTGCAGTAGACACGCCCCAGCCGCCTGTTATACGGGGCCAGTGGTAATAGGGGGTTTAACACTAACCCCTAACCCTACGAAATAAGATATTGCCTTTTTCGTTTTTTCTGTAGGCGCTCGAAAGATTTTCTGTACGGAAAGTGCTAAATTTGCCGCAATGGGCCTCTGGGGTGACAGATGCATCGGTAGTCACTTTGACTGACATTTTCAGGAGCTGCCCCTGATAAACAGGACTGATAGGACTAAAACGTCGACACCGGCGGTAACTGTGTCCACATATTCGTCCCTTTGTCGCCAAGTTGCCGTAGCGTGAAGGCCTTCCGATACAGGTTTCCAACATTTCCATGGTGGGTGTGTGCGTGTTATTTGTTACTTCGCTCCCCACTCCCTTCTGATAGTTCTGCTCGTCGATCCGCCATCTCAATTAAGGAGGCAAGATATAGGGTGACAGTGTACAGGGGACGGTAACATGTAGGCAGTTACATTCAGCGACTAAGGACCACATCTGACGAGCTATCATTTTGCAGAAATGGGTACTGATAACGACTGGGGAGACTTGGATGATAATCATTTCTGGCCTATTATCCATCGCCCGTCGGGTAAAGCCAACCCCATGTTCGGAAAACCTGGGATTTGAACCCGGAATCCGACGCCAAGATCCGAGTACTACTACTCAGTCAAGAGTCCGCTGTCGAGCCCGCCATCAGACTACGGGACGTGCTTGCTATCCAAACCTACGACTGGATGAGGCTGACAAGTGGCGACTAATAAACCAGAAATGGCGATCCCAAGTCCCTTAGGCTTCATCAGTAGGCGACAGTGAAAGGGACGGGGAAACATGTAGGCAATTATATCCAGCAGTTTAGAACCATGTCTGACGAGCTAGTATTTTGCAGAAATGGGTATCGACAAAGGCAGGGGAGACTTGGATGATGATCATTTCTGGCCTGCCAACTATTGTCTACCAGACATGCCCAACCCAATCCTCGGACAATTTGGAATTTGCGCCCGGAAACCGGGCTCAACTTCAAGGCATTACAACACAGATACAGGCCTGCTGTCCTGTCCGCCATCATGGGAAGAGAGTTCGCCGACCAAGTTACGGGCTGTTGGCGGTTAATAAGCCAGAAGGGGGAGAAGTCGGGTCTCTTAGGCTTTATCGGCACGTCCCATGTTACTGGTCACAATGCGACCGCCCACGAGAATCTACGTGGTCTGACAAGACGACTTAATGCCTATGATTGACAGGCATTTTGCACACTAAGCATAGAAATTGCACGTTTGTGTCACTACTTCTCACTATTTCGAGACAAGTGCCGAGCCTCCGTTAGGGGCTATTAACAAGCACTCAGGCAGAAATAAGCAGGTAACTTAATTTTACAGAACTGATCAAGTACTGAATCTGGTGATTAGAATAAGTCCACCGATAGGCTTTTTCGTCAGCCAGGGCGGCCATACCCGTGTTAAAAAGGTCAGCGCACAGGACTCTCAGAACATAACCGTTCAGGGTGTTGGCTAAAACGCCCGAATATCCGCACACTTCAATCATATCTCAGAGGACCGGTTATGATCTCCGAAAGAACGGGAGATCAGGGGTCCTCCGGTTATGCGTTAAAAGCATGCCCAGACAAGAATCAGGGGACGGAGCCGCTGGTAGGGCAGCAGCTTAGAGAATAAAAAGATATAAAACGCGAAATAATTCTATAGCAACGTAGGAGTTTCATTGCAGGGTCCGCCTGAAAAAATCATAAATTCGGCTAAAATATACATATTTGGATGGAATGATGCATTCAAAATATAAGGAGAGGTAGGGAGTCATTTTGGGCTCAGCGCACTGAGATCTACTTCTTTTTGTCATCCAAGTGATCCTGCAGCATTTTCACTGATTTGTCAAGGAGTTGTCGGGGTTCCGATACGGGAGATATCTAATAACAAACAAGTAGACAACCGTACTTTACGAGGATACCTTGTACTTGTCTTGGAAATAGGCACCGCAGTAGAATCCAGCAGCAAAGCCCACCTGTAAGGAGTTTACTTAGGGCAAGCAGCGAAACATACTAATAGCTTAAGCATGTTGACAACTGGCTGGACGCGATTCCGATCTAAAACGGCGTGAAACAATAACGTTAGCCAACGAGTAGCCGTCAAATGTCGCATTGTTAACCTCCTCCTCCTCCTACTACTACTACTACTACTACTACTACTACTACTACTACTACTACTACTACTACTACTACTACTACTACTACTACTACTACTACTACTACTACTACTACTACTACTACTACCACTACTACTACTACTAATACTACTACTACTACTACTACTACTACTACTACTACTACTACTACTACTACTACTACTACTACTACTACTACTACTATCACTACTGCCACCGATATCGAAACTCCGTCTGCCTTGCAGACAGAATGAGGACAATGCTAATTAATTTGCAGAGTTGGACAGCATGGTGGAAGAGCTTGATTGAATTAGGGAGGGACGGGGAAGAGAGGATGAGTGGAAAACCGTTCTCGAATGTCTCCCACAATCGCCCTATTACAACGCTGAAATCACGGAATACGCGCGTAGTATCTGACACGGTACAAAAATCGCAGGACTTGCGCGCATCGATTTAAAATGTGCAGGCTCCGTCAAGGTAAAGGACAGAGGGGACCCCCTACCAGTCTAGACGTTAGATACAAGGCACGCCGATAGGTGACGAATACTGGAATGGCTTTCAACAAGGTCCTGCCGTTAAATAAACCGACCGTCGAGAATAATGCGTAAACGGTCATGGACTATAGTAATAATATTTTTAGACATGGCTGAGCAAAAAACTGGAAAATTGGTCGCATATAAAAAACAAACCCCAGAAGCACTACGACGCAGTGAGTAATGCCTGCTACTCAGTAGGCCTTACTCCACCGTCGTCAGCTTCCCACCAATGCAGCGTGTAGGGCCCGTGACCTCACCCGTACCATATCACCGCAAATCGTCGTGAGTGGTAACAATTGATACCGACACAAGGATGGGCTAAAACAGCATTCCCGCGGGCCGAAACAGTGCATATGCGCAGGATGCGGAGACATAAGATCGGACCCCGCCTCGCACACGTCGGCCCTCCATCCAGAGGACTACAGCTCTTGTAGCTTTTTAATTTCCTCAGAACATCATCGGCGAAACACGCGTGTATGGGCTTTTGGCTAGTACCTGTGCTGTTAGTATGGTATCACCTTACCCTTAAGTATACTACTAGCTACCTGTCGACAGTTAATGAATATTACGCGCTTACCCGCTGTGGCTGATGGACTTTGGCCCAAATATTCATGTATAAAATTCTCAGTCTGAGCCTATAGATCTTGAATAAACTGATCTACTCCAACTTAGTGGATAATTTCTGAGGGAATTAAAAAGCGACAATTTCTAAATTGGAGTATCTACCAAAAAACACACGGGGAATGCTGGGGGACCCACTGACAAGCCAAAACCCTCGCAGCTGCGCCATGTAGCGGCAAAAAATCGGCGAAACACGCGTGCATGGGCTTTTGGCTAGTACCTGTACTGTTAGTATGGTATCACCTTACCCTAGGCTACAGCTCTCTCTATGTTCCTCACAATCCACATATAATTGAGCAGGAAACCATGTACGGGATTTCGTGTCGTTTTCTAATTCAACTGCCAGTATGCTCGGCAGATCGCATCTATGGCAAAACCATCATGAGGACAGGAGGAGGCAATTACGGCAGGCACAAACTCCGTCCCTCTGACAGAGGCATGAGTAAACTAGAGTATCTTAAGCCCATGGGATGGCTTTAAACCCAGTCCAGCAGCCCAGTGGACTAACATGTCTACTGCCCTGTACCTGCTTAGGTCAACGGACCAAGCTTCGAATTTGGAACTTCGTCGATCAAGCGAGCATCTTGTAAGCACTGTCATGGCTCAAAATCCCTGTTTCAGTTGGCATCGTTGAAATCATGTTCGCCGAGTAAACGCGTTAGTAGGACAGATCCGAGAGCACTTGCTGGTAAAGATTATAATAATATTAATACAATATAATCTACATTGTAAATTATAATAATATATCATATATTATCATATATTATAGTATATAATATAATATTATTATACTAATTATAATAATACAAAACGATTGCGGTGGGTCTAGCCGCCAACCGCAGCTAAATGGTCAAATTGATTCGCGGTAGTCAGAGTAGGTTAAAAATCAGAACTGGCGAAGATCGAAGAAGGGATAAGTAATTATATGCTACAAAATATGGTGATGGTAGCTTTGCGCCCACGATTGGCGCCCAGTGACAACGGATACAGCCAATTAGTAGCAATACGTGTCAGTTCTCATTAAAATCAAACGCAGAATCGATGCTCATGCATCACTACAACTTGACACGTTTGAGCCGATTATAGCGCGCTGAACTAGAAGACTGCCGGCTGACGTGATAACTCAGCCCACGTTCAGAGCAACGGCCTGGATGCAATGACTCCTTGTCGTAGCCTTTATGACTCGACTTATTTCCCTGAGATTCGGGTCCACGTCTTGCACGCGTTGCTCGGCGAATTCGGGTCATTTATGCAACTGCATCCAGCCTCATTGCCGGTAAACTTCGCTTGGGCAAGCCCCTGGCGCATAAGCGGGTAAAGGAGAGCAGGTTTGATTCCACTCAGCTGCACTACCAAGATATTCATTATAACCAGCTAAAGGTCTTTTGAAATTATCTCTATGCAAAAGCATAAGTGGATTGAAAGGCCGCCGACAAACGAGGTAACGACGTCCTAATACGAGTCCAGAATATGGTCCAATGCCTCCTTCCTAATGTGCTTCTTATGGCGGTTTATCTTGAGCGAGATCTGAGACCCCTGAAAGAAGCCCGACATGTGTGGAGCCAGAGACCAGGCTGTGTGTGGCACGCATAGACTGTTTAGGTAGATCCTTTAGTCCACCTGCAGTTTTCCTGGGCTTTTCTTGCCACCTGAAGAGAGGGAGAGGGAGAGAGAGGTTACGGCTGTGCCCACCTCTTCAGACAGTGGCGGGCCTCGTTCGTCGTGAAGATCGTGTGTGTATGCCTAAGTAAGAAATGGGGCTGCGAAGAGTGATCGAAAAGGGTTGAAGCCCTGACTGGAACAAACATTTGTGAGTCCAACCGTTTATATAAACGGCGGTGACAAACAGTGATAGTCCCGCCTGATCGTGCGTTACAGATGGTACCGCGAACTTTACAACTTACAGCTAGTCACGTCGGATAAGGGAGGTAACTGCAATAGCGTAAGTTACTTTGTGTCTATAATACAGACATGGGTCCGGACCTGAAGGCATTTTGAACATGAGCTGTCGGCGACAATAGTATCACAATCTCATTGGCCACAGACTTGTGTTAATGGCAACAAGATTCTTGACTTCGCATCTTCACACGCACTTAACGGATGCGTGCCAATACAGTGGCTAAGTTTCACGAATGTCAGGCTAGTCCTCTGAGCTCCGTCGCTGTTGACGCGGCACCTTTTCGCGTCGAAGCACACTTTTGCTGAACGCTGAAATCGACTTCGCCCGTTCTACCCCGAAAGAGTTTTTTTCTGTCTTAGTCAGACGCATAAACCGATTAAGAGTCCCGTACGGGACTCTTGATCAATTGGTTTATGCGTCCCACAACTTGCGCCTGCGGCTGTCAGAAAAACTACTCGCTGATTAAATTAAGCTTTTTATAATAAACAAAGAGTAAAATTTAAGGTTAGATGGCAAACAGACAATAAATGCACGTCGACAAAGCTCAAACAATCACAGTATTGTAAGATACCCGATCACCTGATAAACCACCTGAAAAACCAGAGCTTGTGGACACAGCCGGATGACCAATACAATCGCTATAATATTTACTACTCAAACACAATAAACAAATATACCGAATGCGACATAGATGCCATACAGACAGAAGTTCAAACGTTTTTTGCAATTCACAAAGGACGCTTTAATTTGTTACGGGTTATTGACGGTATCCAGTGTTCATTCCTTCACGTTTTAACGGATGCTCAAAGAATTTCGGATGAGATTTGAAACGTGAGTGTAATCTGTTATTCTTACTACTCATCCTTTAACATCAATAGGTTCAGGTTCCTTTAAAAAACTGTAAACTACATCGACACTGCAAAATCCTCGCGGAGTACACCTCATATTCTGATCTCATAGAAAACGAAGGAGGACTACCGCACATTCATCTTCATCCGCCGAAGACGCAGCTAATAATTAGTGACCTAGGATTTTGATTGACGTAGCAAATTCGAAGAAGCTGCTAAAGAACAGACTACAAACCAGTTTACTTGAATGCCACAAGTGTGAAAATTGCTATTACGCAAACTAAGGTTGATTTTTATTAGGAGAGTTGGAGTAGACAACGAAAGCTTCTTTGGAATTATTGCAAAAATTATTTTATTTTAAAGAGGTAGTATGACAATGTTTGTTCACAATGTCCCGAAATTCGTGGAGCAATTGTCTTTATTATGTACCCATAAGTGCATTATTTGGTCCATCCCTTGCGGGTGTTACGATTTATGTCATTGGAGAGCGTAGAGGTAATACCAAAGTACTTCCGGGGTTTTGCGAACTGCAGAGGTGGGTCATTGAGAAAATGACTTCCTCTACCAGCGGGAACGGGATTTTATATAATAGCAAACGTTTTACTTTCAGACGTCCATAGGAATTTTTTAGACAACGCTAACACTCAGTCGTTTAATAAAATTATCTAGCGTAGACAGTTATTGTCAGACCGAGCTGCCAGACGAACAGTATAATTTAGAAATTGATATGCATAAAGCGAAGTTTTGACTGTAAAAAGTCCAACGTAGCCCTAGAGCCATCTGCGAATGACCATAAATAACAGGATCCCGATTCCTGTCCCGAGGATTGATGACAGTTTGAGGATATCGGACAGCACAAAAAGCTTGGAATTTTTCAGTCATCGCAGTCTGTTTTCATGCGAGAAATAATTTTTATTCCGCGTTGTTATAAGGGCATGGGAGAATCTATTATGGGAAATATCGTATTTCGAGAAGATGTGAATTTCGAGGAACCAAAGAGTTTGAAGGGATTTAAACCTCCTGGTTCAAAGGAGATTCCAGTGAAGCTGCTCTCGGCACTTTCTCGAGAAATGATCAAAGCGATTTCTTTTCTATGCTAGAAATAGATTTATGCTGGAATTATTCCTAGAGACTAGAAAACAGCTCACATAACACCACTTTTTCAAAGCAACAGTCGTACACCTGCGACCAACGAGATACTCGTCGGTCTGATATTAATCTGCTGCAGACACATGGAGAAGACTGACAAAAAGTCACTTATCGATTATGCTGAAAACCACGGCCTATGATTCAGTGCACAATATGGCTTTCACAGGGGAAGATCATGTGTAATGAACTTGCTATATACAGTGAAAAGCTGGGAAAGAACACCCGATGCAAAACACGCTGTGAATGTGGCCCACACTGGTTTCGAGAAGGCATTCGACAGTGTTCCATACCAGCGTCTCATTTACATGCTGGGATTCATGGGGATCCCTGTTGGTCATCCCCAAATGGTCTGCATGGAGCAACAGCAAGCAAGGCGCACAGTCATAGAGGCTAGAGTCCCACATGTCTCAGTTCTCGCAGTAACCCTCCTCCTCTTGTTCATTAAGGATCGTCTAAGGAGTAGTACTGCGATTGGGGCATGTTTGCGGATGCTACAAAAATCTGGATAGTCGTCCACAAAGCCGCCGATGGAACAAACTTCCAAGAAAATCCTTGTCGATGAGACAAGTCGTCCCACAGATGGTTCCGGTCCTTCAGTTCGAACAAATACACCATACTGCGTCTTGGAAGTCAAAACCAGCACCCAAATACACGGCAATACTCCCTTAACGGTATGCGACTTCGAGAGATAGAAAGCGAGAATGATCTCGCATGTTCGATGGCAAGCTAAATAAAGCCTTTTGCGCAATTTTGCAAGAGAGATAAGGCCACAACTTCGAAGCCATATGAAATCAAGCAAACATTCACTGATTCGATGAAGAATGCTTCGCCAAAGTCTTCGGCGCGTGTATAAAGCTGTATTTTGAATATGTGATCCAGACCTAGAGAGACTGGATGCAGAATGATCACATTCTACTCGAAAGGACGCAGAGGCAAGTCAGTGAGCATTGCCACTCGAAACCCGCCCAAACATACGTAATCTCTATCCTTTGAGTTATAGGCAGTTGAACAGAGACTTGATAAAACTTTCCGTTACCGCCGTGGCTTGGATTGCGCTCTCCGATGTGACGACGTTTCCCGACTTGTCACTGCAAATACACTCCGGGGACATCCATTAAACTACGTGTACCCGAAGGAAGATTGGATGTGAAAAAGTATTTTTCCATCAACAGTGTCGGGGAACCATAAGGTAACCTTAACGAGGCGACTTTAATGTCTTTATCTGTGTCTCGCTAACCTGCTCACATCAATGGAAAGCTGGACGTAGTCCGTAAAGAGAGGTTTATCAGTAGATGCGATGCACATTTACTTCGTTAAGCATTTGAAGGAGTGTCTTATAGGCGGTTCATATCTAAACTGCTACGGATGAGTGTGACTGGCAACCTGCTCTCACAACCAACTGTCCAACAAGCTGACGTCAACGTGTGTGCATTGGTGACGCCGAAGCAGACTGGGAAATTGTTCATGGTGGGGTTCCGCAGGGGAGCGTTCTGGGTCACATTCTGTCCTTGATATATGTAAACGATTACCTGAATTGTCTGACCTACGAGAAGCAAATGCACGCTGATGATCTGAAGATGTGAAGTTCGACCGAAAATCTGAGGGACGCGCTTAACTTGCTAAACAACTTAAATCGACTGCAAGAGCGGTGTGCTGAATGGCTAATTAACCCCAATTTCAACAACTGCCAATTTGTACGCCAAAGGTCTAGTTAGAGAAAAGATTTGAGGTGTGAATATTAGTATGACGTAAGTTATGTCGTTCCCGCGAACTAACGAACTACGGCTTACTAACCTCATAAACGGAGAGAGGTAAGGAAGGCCAGTAAGTGAATAAAGTTAATATTCAAAATGTGCAACGACCTGACCAGGGAGCATGCAAGCGGCGCGAAGCTTACAAGCGGCGGAGTATTCGTCACGTTAAAACAAATGCTACACTAAAACAAACGTGACAAGATTGTCAAAGTTCAAGTAGCCAAGTATTTCAGCACAGTACCCCTCCCCCGAGACCGGAGGGCGGCAAAAAAACGACGGAAGGCATACAAGGGTCTAGGAGAAATGAGTAACTAGACGATCGGGAAAGTGCACGTGACGTCTACTGCGGGTGATATATGCGGGAAGCACTGTTGGAGGCAGTTGAGTAGGTGTTATAATGGACAAGTTAAGGGTGGAGGAAGAGGTTGGAGTTTAATGCTGCGAACGAGAAGGAAGATGAAGTATGCGGGACGGAGGGATAGGTAGGGAAAGTGGAAAAGCAGTGGGAGGAGGTATGGGGTCAGCATATGCTTGTCCTTGAGACACGTCCGGGGGCTCCTCTGCAACAGCAGCCTTGACCCGGTTGATGCTGACTACGTCCTCTTTGTCACCTCGCAGGATCCCAAAGGTCTTGCTGTTACATGCAAGCACACGGAACGGTCCTTCGTATGGTGATTCTAACGCCTTCCGCACACGATCACACCGAACGAGCACATGGGTGCAGTTGGCTAAGCCTTTTTCACCATAAGGCTCGGTCGATGGAACTCGAGGTGGAACCGGGGAAAGCGAGCGCATGAATTGTCGCAGACGATGCACAAAATTTTCGGGGGTCTCTTCGGCACCACGAGAGGTTGGGGTGACCATCTCACCAGGGGGTCTGAGGGTAGTGCCGAAAACCAATTCGGCTGCGCGGCAGTCCAATTCTGACTTCAGTGCCGCACGAATGCCAAGAATTGCAACGGGTACATTGTCTCACCAGTTTTCGGGATCTTCTGCGGTACGCAGTGCAGTTTTTAGCTGGCGGTGGAAACGCTCAACCAAGCCGTGGGCAGCTGGGTGGTAGGCCGTCGTCCGGATAAGTGTGCAGCCAAGGAAGTTGAGGAGAGTTTGGAAAAGTGTGGACTCAGACTGCGCGCCTCGATCAGTCGTAATCATGGATGGCGCACCGAATACGGCGACCCAACGACTGACGGAGGCTTTCACAATGGTCTCAGCTTGCACATTCGGTAAAGGAATGGCTTCTGGCCAACGGGCATAGCGATCAACGCAGGTGAGAAGGTGAGTATAGCCATTGGATGGAGGTAAAGGACCTACGACATCTAAATGCACATGGTTGAACCGTGCATCGGGGCTGGGGAACGTGCCCGATGGAGACTTGTTATGGCGTGGAACCTTGTTACGTTGACAGCAAAGGCACGATCGTGTCCAAGCTTTCACACCCTTGTTCAACCCAGGCCATACAAACCTTTCCGCGAGGAGCTTCTGTGAGGCTCGAATCCCAGGATGGAAGAGTCCGTGGAGAGTTTGAAAAACAGCTCGACGCATCGAGGCAGGCACATAAGGACGATGAAAAGGAGTCGATACGTCACAAAGCATTGTGCCAGTGCCGGTGGTCAATGGGACGTCAACTAATTGAAGACTGTCAGCAGACTCGTCGCCAGGACATCCAACACGTCGTTGTTCAGCCGCCATAGCACCGAGATCAATCCCCTGTGAGAGGTGAAACGCCGAGAGGGAAGGTCTGGGCAGCATGTCGGCCACCGCATTCTTCGGGCCATCAATGTGGCGGATGTCGGTGGTGAATCGCGAGATGTAATCAAAATGAGAAATCTCTCTCGGGCTATATTTGTCAGAATGGGATCGAATGGCAAATGTAAGTGGTTTGTGATCTGTGAAAAGTGTGAAGTCACGACCCTCAAGGAAGAGTCGGAAATGTTTTACGGCTGGGCAAATGGCAATAAGTTCACGGCCAAACGTGCTATATCTCGTCTCGGCAGGTGAAAGCATCTTGGAGAAGAATGCCAACGGTCGTGTCGAGTCGTTGATATGCTGTTAGAGGACTGCTCCTACGGCAACGGTCGAAGCATCAACCATCAGGGACAATGGGGCTTCTGGAGCAGGGTGAGTGAGCAAGGTAGCATCAGCAAGGGAGGTCTTTATCCTCTCAAATGCAGTCAGCGCGTGGCCACGTAACTCAAGGGGACCCTTGGGACCAGAGAGCAAGTTGGTGAGTGGCAGCATAAGGTCGGCACAGTTCGGTAGGAACCGGCGATAAAAGTTTACCATGCCAAGGAAACGTTGCAGCTGACGCTTGGAGGTTGGTGGAGGAAAGTCACGAATGGCCTAAACCTTGGAAGAGAGGGGACGCAAACCTTGTGCATCGATATGGTGACCAAGAAAATCAAGGGATGGCACACCCAGAACACACTTCGAAGGGTTAATGACTACACCAAACTGATCGAGGCGGTCAAACACTAAGGCAAGATGCTCTTTGTGTTCTTCGGCATTTCGACTGGCCACCAAGAGGTCATCGATGTAGGCGTGCACAAACGAGAGACCACGTAGGACTCTGTCAATGAACCTCTGAAATGTTTGGGCAGCACTGCGAAAACAAAATGGCATGCGAATAAATTCGAACAGGCCGTAAGGTGTGGTGACGGCAGTTTTGGGAACATCCTCAGGAGCAACAGGAATCTGATGAAGGCCCGAAGAAGGTCAATCCCCGGGGATTAAATTCCCCCTCGAGAAAGAAGTTGACAGAAAACTCCCATTTTTGGATGTTCTTGTGCAGCGGAAGACCGACGGAACGTTGCGCACATCGGTGTACCGCAAACAAACCTATGCGGAAGTCATTCTACACTACGAGAGCAACCACCCCATTTCCCACAAACGGAGTACGGTCAACTGTCTGCTTAATCGGGCAAAAACACACTGCTCGGACGACGAAGGCTACCGAGTCGAACTAAGTTACTTGTGTGAATTATTTTCCCGAAATGGGTACCCCAAGAATTTTGTGCGCCGATGCATGAGACAGAAAAAGTCAAAAGAAACGGAACAAAGAACTTCCAGCCAGGCACCCAAGTCAAATACATGGCGAACTCTCCCTTATATCAAAAACGTGTCTGAACTCGTGGAAAGGCGCCTAAAGAAGCACCAAATTCTGGTGGCACACAGACCAACAACTACATTACGTACTCAGATAGTACACTCTAAGGATAGGGTAGGCTATTTGGATAGAAAGGAAGTAGTCTACAAGATCCCGTGTGGGGCCTGTGATGCAGTTTATTGTGGTCAAACAGGAAAATCCGCCTCTACACGCATTCACGAACACCAACTTGCAGTAAAGAGGCGAGACCACCTGTCTCAAGTAGCCATGCATACCCTGGACACGGGGCATACGTTTGCTTGGGACAGAACACGGATTGTCGGCGCCTGCCCCTTCAAGAAAGGCCGAGAGTTCCTTGAGGCCATGCACTCGGATGAATCGTGCATCAACCGTCGCATTGAGTTGGACGCCGCGTACAAAAGTCTCAAGGAGAAATGGAAGAGACGAGAGCCAATCGGCACAGAATGACGCAAATAGCGGCCGCTCACGGGCACAAACGCAAACGATTATCGATTTTTTCCACGTGCGCTACCAGATGTTAACTGTTGTCGGCACATTTACTCTCAGTCTGCGTCTGACGACGACCTGGGTAACCGGCGTCGAAAATTTACGCAATAAAGTTCATTTTCCCAAAGGCGATCTGGGGAACCATAGTTTTACTGTCCTGACGTTTCAAAAGCATACAAGCTTCTATCGTCGGAGGTGAGTGTGGTATCGCGCCTCACAGTATTTATAGGTGGGTGACAGTCATGTCAAAGCGGGTTTTCTTACATATGAAGTCAGGGCGGCAGGGGGAAGGGGCGCGGGGAGTCCTAGAGCGTCTTTTCGCCGGATGGGGGGGGGTGGTGGATCAGCTCTAATAGTCATCAGCCGCATGCACACATGAACTGTGGCGGGAGGGGGGGGAGGGAGGGAGGGTGACGGAATGTACCCAATCTACATCGAAGGCCGGCGTTGAGACGTTGGTGGTCGTCGTTCGTACCTTCATTGACCGTAGCTGTCGTCCAAGCCTAGCAATCTTGTTTACGCCGCAACGACTGTACGTTTTCTCGTCCGCCGGATTAGTAGATGGACCGGCTGTGGTGAGGGCTGCGCCTTCGTCGGAACCCGGTTGAGGGGTGGCTGAGTGTGTATCCGTCATGGACTCGCTCATGTCTGGATTCATGTTTAGCCTGGGTGCACGTCTGCTCATTTGTCTACTGAGTTGCGCTCGAAGGGCTTGAGGGGCAGCGGGAAGAGCCACACAGCAGTTGATGGAGGTTGTCCGCGTGTGCCAAGCCTCGATTGTTTCCCTGGCTATGCGATCGTTTCCCCGGCCCAGAATTTCGGCATGCTGAAAGGCGAACGTGTGTCCGGCATCGGTGCAGTGTTCGGCCACCAGAGACAAAGGGTCCATTCGCCTTACTGCCCTCATGTGTTCTCCAACAGGGGTCTGTAGTCGTTTGCCGGTCTCCCCAATGTAGTTGACTTCGCAGGAGTTACACCGGATCCGGTAGATGACATTCGTGATTTCACCTAGTGGCAAAGGGGCCTTAGGGCTCATGACCAGATTTCGAATAGTTGACTTCGGTCGGTGGGCATATGCCGATCCCCAGCGGACTTAAGGGACGCGAGACGGCCTCAGAAACGCCCTCCCTCCCTCCCCCCCCCCTACCGCCACAGTTCATGTGTGCATGCGGCTGGTGA